TTGCTTAAACAGAATAGAATAATTTAACGAGTTCAAATGTCGTTGCATAGATAATGGGCTGGTCTGGATTCTGGAGCTTTGTGCTTCTAGCAACCAATAGATGACAAAGTGTCTATTATAATTAAGTGTTACTTCCAAATAAGTTGTGGTCGACTAAATAAATTTTTATTATTTATGTCATTATATTTAAACGCATTCAATTAAGAGTACCCCTACATTTTACACGTACCTTCCCAAGAGTAGGTAGCTGATTTCACATGTAGGGGTGACAAACGGTCGGATCGGATCGGATATGGGCGGGTAAAAGATAAGTAAATTATGCGATCCGATCCATATTTAATACGGATAAAAAATGGGTTAACCAGAGGATAATATGAATATCTATATTATCCAAGATTTCTTGAATATGATCATTTTTGGGAGATTCCTAGTATCCAAAACTTGAGTAACTCCTAATTTGAGGCTTTAAGAATATAAAAATTAAACTCATTAGTTATTCACTGGTTATCCATTTTCGAAGTGGATAATATGATTCTTATCCATAGTTGACCCGTTTTTAATAAGTTCATTATCCAACTCATTTTTTAATAAATAATATGGATAGATAACTATTTTCTTTTATCTATTTTGCCGTCACTGTCACTACTGACGTGATATAATCCGCACAGTTTTGGAGTGACACTAGCAGTAGCAGCAGGACCAATTTGCAATGATCCAAAAACAATGTGCAAAACGTGATCACCTAAAGGAAGGCGACCGTAAATATCTTGGCTTTAATTTCACTATGGAACTGAATTTTCATTTATTACTCAAAAACATTTTTTTGAAATATTAAGAGAAGGTGCTTTAGAAAAAAGAGAGTGCTTTGCTAATAGCTTGACAAAACAAGCTAGTATTATACTAGATTTCGATCTTGGTAAAATCTTATATGCATTTGCTATTTACACTAAATTAAATTATAAATTAAGGTAAAAATATATAGTATTAATTTACTATGATTCAATAATAAGACTGAACACATATGTCATGTATTTATTGAGCCATAAATATCGGACGCGGGCAATTTTTTACCATATTTTACCTAGTGTTATAACATTATGTTCCATCCTTCCCAAGTAATATAAAATTATTTGATTGGGAACGGAATTTAAGATTTATTTGGCTATAAATTATCTATTAAAGGGTTAAATTGCTTTTAAATATATACAAATATATTTTTTTTTGGACAAAATTAAAAAGAAAAGTGTGATATATAAAAGAAATATATGTATTATATATTTTTACAACTCTTAAAAAAAAATAACCGATAAAAAATAAATATATTTTTCACATATATGTATTATATAAAAATATATATAATTTATACGCTCTTAACTAGCAAATATAATTAATTTCGCTCACCAATCAATTTTATATTTTTTGCCTATATAAATAAGAACGTAGCAATATCAATTTGGGATGTGAGGATTATTTACCTTTATCGAATCTGAAGTAATCCGTTAACTTTAGCCCAACCGTCAAACCCAATCTAAGATCCCGGAATACAGACCCCAAAAAGGAACTACTGAGAAGTGAGAGAGTAGGTAGCCGATTTCTCCGGCGCCGGATAGAAGATTCAACGGCGAATCGAATTGCCCGTCGGTGTTAGGTAGCACTTTTGCATCTTTCCCAAGACAAGAAACCCTTTTCAATATTTTTTTTGTAGCAATCCTGACATTTATTGCTTATTAATCAAGTTTTTGAAATCTCTTTTTCCCTCGTTTGACTAATGTTTATAATCTGAAGTTATGAGTGACCGAGCTGGAATTTATGGTAGTCCTTGTCGTAAGACGTTACTAAACTAATAAAATGTAATTTAGGCTGCGGTAGTTTGCATTTTGGATGTATTATGTTCTGGGGAGAAAGCTTGTTAGTTAACCCACACAAAATTCCTAATTAACTTAAAAAATATCCGCCCAAGGATGTGGCCTAGTTATCAATGAAGTGAGTTGAGAACCATGAGGTCTCAGGTTCAAATCCTAGCGGAGGAGTTACCTGTCCAAGCCTTGATTCCTTCCTATCTGTCCAAGTCTTGATGGATAGAGTTACCTGATATCTGTTGTTGTTGTTTGTGGGAGATAGTATGTATCCCGTGGAATTAGTCGAGGTGCGCACAAACTGCCTCGGACAACAAGATTATAAAAAAAGAAGAAAGAACTTCAAAATATCTAAGGAAGACTGCTGGTGGGAGGTAGTAGGTACCGGTGAAATAGTTGAGGTGCGCACAAGTTGGAACTAACACCGCCATCATACACAAAAAAGAAAAAAAAAAATCTAAGAAAGACTATGAATATTAGGAGGAAGCTATCAGTGAAGAAGGATTTCACTCCAGTATATTTGTATTTCTGATTTTTGATGGTGAAGTTTGTAAGCTTGTTTGGTACATTGTCTTTTTTGATTTTTGCATTTTATTGTTTGTCTCAAGTCATTCATGTCAGCGGATAGATTTCCATCTATGTTGCAGTCAATCTGATCATTCAGTTATGCTCCTTACTTAGTAACAGGTGGTTTAAGTGGAAAGCGAGGAAAACGGAGATAAATTATGATATTCTCTATGGTGATGAGTTGTTCACCTCATCTCTGTCTTCCTAGGAGCCACATGGTTATGCAGAAAACAATCCGGTGCTCTTCTTCCGTTTCGACAGCGTCTGAGTCCATCCAGTTTGATCTTAAGAATTATTGGACAACTCTAATTCGTGATATCAACCAGAAGCTTGATGAGGCGGTCCCAGTTAAGTACCCAAATCAGATTTATGAGGCCATGCGCTACTCCGTTCTGGCTAAGGGTGCTAAAAGGTCCCCACCTATCATGTGTGTTGCCGCTTGTGAGCTTTTTGGTGGAAATCGCCTTGCTGCCTTTCCCACTGCCTGCGCCTTAGAGATGGTTTGTTCTTCATTTTCTGTTTGTATTCATCATTTAATTCTTTTGGGTGATAAAGGACACACACTTGTTGGCCTTCTTATGTTTCTTAAGACTTTGCTATGCTTGCATCACTTGTCGTAGCCTAGGTAGAAAGGTGATAACATTACTTAAAAGTTATGGATCTTCTGTAGAATAATAAACAAAAGCACCCACATTGTAGGATTAACCTTTAATCATTATTATTAAGGAACATTATATCCTTGGCAGCTGCATTGAATAACTGGAATTTGTTCTCTTTGCTGTCTCCACGGACAAATGCTTGAACCAATAAGTGAACCACCTGATACTATTGCCTTCTGGTCTTTGAACTGCAGTAGTCAAATTGTATTAGGATATAATGCCTGAGCTTTCTCACCCTAACCAATTCAGATTATATTATTTATGCTTATCTTGTTGGAGGAAAGAAAGTTCTTAAAAGCAGAACTGGAAACGTTTTTTGACTTTTTGTTTTTTGATAACGGTGGTGATCAGACCAGTTTGCACGTGCCTCAACTAATCCACAGGGCATTAGCTAAACTCTATCAACACAAAATATCAGGGTAACTCGGCCCACCAAAACTTAGGCAGATGGAAAGAATTCACCTTGTGACGCCTCTATTGGGATTCGTACTTTGGTCTCGAAGGTTGTTACTTCATGTCTTTGACTGCTTGGCCACTCTCTTAAAGGTTGAAATATTATTAGATTAAGTTCAGATGTATGTCTTATTTGGCTTTTTGGTGCAAAATGAGCAACATGAGTGATGAGCTTCATCTGCCTTGTAGAGTAGAAGGAGCTGATTTTTCGTAATCTTTTTGTAACTATTTCTGCACAATCTTTCTGCATTCAGGTTATGAGATTTAATTTTACTTATCAAAGAAAAAAAAGCTGTGCTTATAAATTCAAGATAAAACTTGACCCAAATTCTCGAGGCAACAGAACATGCAACGGTAAGTTGGTTAAGCTACTTAAACATCATGTTTTGCAACTGATGTTTTGTTTTATGCAATATGCGCACAATGAAATCTTAGTTGTATATGATATTATGCCAATTTCTAGCTCTAATATTTTTGTGTGTTGATCCTCCGATTGAGCTTTGAGATATGCTGCTGTATTGATGCTTACATTTGACACATGTATATCTTATATTGACCTTGATATGTTTCTATTAGGTTCATGCTGCTTCATTGATTCATGATGATCTGCCTTGCATGGATGATGACCCAACTCGACGAGGGCTGCCTGCAAACCACACAGTTTTTGGTGTAGATATGGCAATATTGGCTGGGGATGCTTTGTTCCCTCTTGGGTTCCAGCATATTGTGTCTCACACTCCAAGTGATCTCGTTCCCGAGGATCGAGTCCTCAGGGTCATTACAGAGATTGCTCGAGCTGTGGGGTCCACTGGCATGGCTGCCGGTCAATTCCTTGACCTTGAGGGTGGACCAAATGCTGTTGACTCTGTCCAAGAAAAGAAATATGGTGAAATGGGTGAGTGCTCTGCCGTTTGTGGGGGTCTCTTGGCTGGTGCTTCGGATGAGGAGATCCAACATCTGAGAAGATACGGTCGAGCAGTTGGTGTCTTATATCGGGTTGTTGACGATATATTGGAAGCAAAGGAGACCGAGGACAAAAGTGAGGGGAAGAAAAAGAAAGGCAAAAGCTATGTTAGTCTTTACGGCATTGAGAAGGCTAAGAAAATTGCTGAGGATCTTAGAGCACAGGCTAAGAGAGAGTTAGATGGTTTGGCGAAGTATGGTGATAAAGTCATTCCACTTTACAGTTTTGTAGATTATGCTGCAGATAGAGGTTTTAGCCTTGATAACTAAGTCTAATTTATATTTGACAGTGTTGTCTTATGTTTCATCATGATATTTGACCAGAACTATCAAGTTTGTTGTATGGATTGTTGTTAATGAAGCTGTAATTGCTATAATCTCAGCTAAATAGGATGTCAAGCTTACATTGTTAAATAGCACCATTTTTTTCTCCTTTCATGATCATTAGCAAGGACTGAAAAATCAGAATGTGGCCAATCACTTGTCCATTTAGGCCTTGCATTTGGGCTGTTAAACAGATGTTTTCCTTATGTAAAAGAGAAGACGTCGTTATAATACTACAACAACAACAAATCCAGTGAAATCTCATAAGTGGGGTCTGGGGAGGGTAAAGTGTACGCAGACCTTACCCATATCTTATGAGGGTAGAGAGGCTGTTTCCGAAAGACCCTCGACTTAAGAGAAGTGAAAATAAAGCAATAAAGAAAACGTTGTTATACATTATTCCTGAAGCCTCCTAAGGCTGTAAATATTCCAACCTATGTTGCTCGCACTCTCCGAAAATGTCTCGGTGTGCGTGTCGCATCCTTCATAATTATTGTATTTTTGGTGGATCCGACACGAGTGCAGCAACATTTTGAAAAGTCCGCGCAACATAGTTTCCAACTCTTACCTTAAGATAATTGAAAAGGATAAATATTTTAGGGGAACTAATACCTCAGCTTTTTATTACAAGCAAATTCACAACAAAGTCCAATTTAAGCAGATGTTTTTCTTGGTACTGCTTTCAAAGGTTGGAATTTTCTCACTGTCATTCCCATTCTCTCCTTCATATCCATTGATTTAGGAGTGATAGTTTCAGGAAGTTCCCAATCAAATTCATGAAGCAATGAGCCCAAAACAAGGTGTAACATGCGATTACCTAAAGGAAGTCCTACACACATCCTTCTACCAGCACCAAATGGTAAAAACTCAAAACATTGTCCCTTGAAATCAATCTTCGAGTTAAGAAACCTCTCGGGCTTGAAATCCATAGGGTCGTCCCAATATTCAGGATCTCTTCCAATTGACCAAACGTTAACGAACACTTGAGTGTTTTCTGGTATGTCATATCCCATGAATTTGGTGTCATGTATTGCTCTTCTTGGCACTAAGAAAGGAAGAGGAGGATGTAATCGTAGCGCTTCTTTGATCACAGCTTGCATATAAGGAAGATTGTCAATGTCGCTTTCTTCTAACTTCCTGTTCTTTCCTACTATCTCAGAGATCTCTGCTTTTACTTTGGCCATTGCTTCAGGGTGGCATAGGAGTTCAGTCAATGTCCATTCCACGCTGCTACTAGTCGTCTCTGAACCGGCTAAAAACATTTCCTGCATTTTGTATCTAATCAAGATTTATCTCAAGTAACCAAGAGTACACTAGCATACTTATTTCAAGGTCCTATGATCTAAATTGTTACATTTGGCTACAAGAGTCAAATTAGACCAATGAAATAGAGAAGTGCATATTATATGTACATATAATGGTATTCAATTATCGGAACGAAAAAAAAGGACAGTCTGATGCTCAAAGCATCCCGCATTCATGTAGTATCCGGGGAAATGCTGCATCCCAAGGGATGTGATGTAGGCAGCCAATGGCGAATTTATGCACTAATTTTAGGTGCTTTAGCACCTATTGACCTCCCCATAAACTATGTATAGTTATATAAAAAATATAAGAAAATTGATATAAGATGGTAGCAAGCACCCAGGAACCAAAAAGATTAATGAGTGCTGTGGTGTTGAGATTGAAGTAAAGATGTGTCTGAAGTTAGAGGCGTGAGATCGATTCCTACTTGTGACTAGAAGTCATTTTTGATAATGTTAATATTAACCGTAGTTTTTTTATTAATTTTTTCCTCTATTGCGTTCGAATAGTTGTACACTTCTGGTATGTGGTTGGTAGCAACTTTATGTTAAAGTAAAGGAGCACCCACGACCTTAAAATTCCAGATCCGCCACTGCTAATTGAACTGATAATCTGTGAAAACTTTAGGGGATTGTATAAATAAAAAATAGGAAAAGTGCAGCAAACACTAAAACATACCAATATGAATATGTTGATCTGATGTTCTGTTAACTTAGCTGGTTCATCTTTTCCACTACCCTCAAAATCAAGCAACACATCCAAAAAATCTTTCTTCTTTTCGCCACCATCTTCTCGCTCCTTTATTCGTTCCTTGACGAATGTAGAGGCGATTTCCAGAGCTTTTCCCATTTCGCGATGCATCTTCTTCTTTAAGCCTTGTAAATCAAACCTCCTAAGACATGGAAAAATGTCTGAGACATTCGGATTACCCGACCATTCCATAATCCTCATCATGGCAGTAAAGAACTCGGAGGCCTTTTTGGACCCTGGATGTACTAAATCGCGCGAAAACATCAAATTCCCTAGCATATTAAACGTTGAAAGAAACACAAAACGCGTTACCTCAATCCCACTTCCTTTAATTTCCACAACATTCGCCTCTTCTTCAATCCATTGAAGCATATCATCGACACATTTTTGCCTGATATGTACTGTTGCATTGATCCTTTTGTTAACAAACATTTCCACAGTACATATCCGTCTTAGCACGCGCCAATACGTGCCATATGGGGCTATAGCTAAGGACCCTTTGTTGTAATCATGTACCAACATGGTGTCCATAATTTTTCGCTCAGCAAAAGCGAAATCATGATTCTTGAAAAACTCAGCAGCTGTTTTGGCTGACAAAATTGACATGGTTTTAACTGAGCCAATATTGAACCATACAATAGGACCATATTTGTGTTTAAAACTTGCTATTGTTTGATATGGTAATGTTCCAAGATTAAACATGTTGCCAAAAATAGGCAATCCAGGTGGTCCTGGAGGCAAATTGTAAGAACAAGACCTTCTTTTGGAGAATACTATGATTAGAGTTGGTACTAAGATAATTGTAGACCAAACTACATAGCTCCATTCCCACTCCATTTTCCTCAAATTTTCAGGTTTTGGTGTGTTTGGTTTGGTTCTATGTTTCTGTTATTGCAGAATATCTACAAGATACAATATATAGAAAAATTGTATGACTTATTGAACATGGTTATCACTTGACAACGCCGAATATGCGTTGAATATTATAATATTGACATCTGCAAACTTCTATGTAGCTATGAATTTTTTAATAGATTTTCAACTGAAATAGCTGCAATGTTTAAGGTATTCAAAACAGAACATGATCTGGCCATGTTATTCAGAGATTGGCTCACATTACAAAGTCAATATCACTTAATTTTTGCGGTTAAATATACGCAAAATACTTATCATGATTCTGGAAAATAAATAAATAAGGCAAAGAATACATCAATTATTATTTTTAGTTTCTTTCTGTCGGTGCGGTTTCAGTTTACCGAGGACATGTCCCTTGACAAGAGGGTTGAGAATTAGAATAGAAGGATAGTAGGTAGTCCAGCATAATTCTGTTCCTTACTGGGGTACTAGGGTTAGTCTGGTAGTGTTCTTGCCCTTAAATTGCTAGTATTATATGTTATTTTCCTACTATCTTCCACTTCGATTTCCTAGTATCTTGCTGTTGTTACTGTTTACTGCTTTTGCTTCTTGCATCTAATTTTCCGGCCTTTAGATTGTTGCTATTATCTTTCTGGCCTTTGATGTTGATATTGCTCGTTTTTATTGTTTCTTTTTATCTTTCTTGAGCCGAAAATCTATCTGCGTACACACTATCCTCCTTTTACCCATTTGTGGGATTCTATTGGGTTTATAGTTGTTGTTGTTTTAGTTTGTTTCTTTGCTTGTTAATGCTTTGCTGTAACGACCCGAACTTAGAAGTCATGACCTGCACCCACTTTGATTGTTTGAAGGCTCACCCAACTTAAACAATATATATCAATACATTTCATTAAGCTAATTCTCAATCATAAACTTAATTAACTATATCTTTCATCAGTCTAATACAAGTACGCAATGAAAACATGAATCTAGTGTGAGCTTAGGAGTAATAAATATGCTAAGACTTCCTAAGGAAAAGAATTACATAACCATTTCTCAACATAGGCATATAGCCAAAAGTATAGTATACAAAATGCATTGTGAAATCATCATATGGGTAAACATAATCAACTACAGCCACATTTCAGATTTGGTATACTTAAACTTGAAAACATATATCAAATACTCTTGTTCATACATGCATATAAGCTGAATTTGTTATGTTCATAGTGGAGACATATCGAGTATTCTTATGAGTGACAGGGATAAAGGATGTTTTGAGATTTGGCAAGAAAGTAAAGTTAAGGAAATGATTTCTTAATTCGCCCCATGTCATTAAAATACATTATATAAATACTAGATGAGAACATCTAACTAATATGAAGAGGAGCCGGTGTTCATAGAATCATAGTTGACCAACATGCATGTAACGAACCGAAAATGACCGTCTATAGCTCCTCAAAATTTTGAGGGTGAATGACACAATTACCCACAAAAATAGAACTATTTACCCTTATCTATCAATTTACTTTTCTACCCATCAAACTAATTATCTTTCCTACGTATTATTTTTTTCTCCTTTTGTTTTTTGGTCTGGTCTCCTTTTCTTTTTTATTTCTCAACTTGTCTTTTTTCCTTCTTTTCTCCTTTTCTTTTTTCTCGTTTTCTTCTTATTTTTTTTCTTTTTCTATTTATTTATTTTAGTCCTTATTATTATTATTATTATTATTATTATTATTATTATTATTATTATTATTATTATTATTATTATTATTATTATTATTATCATAATTTCTTGTTTTCTTTTTTTTTTCTTTCTTTTTTTGCTTTTTTATTTCTTGTTCCTTTTCTAATTTTGGCTCCTTTCTAATTTCATTTAACTTATTTTTTTATATTCTTTTTCTATTCATAATCTAATTTCATTTACTGTTTTTACTATTTTTTATTATTCTTTTTTTTATACAATAAGAAAAAATAACTGATATAGTAAATATGTGTTCACCTTTTTTTTTTAAATATAACTAGTATAATATACCTCTTCCAAGAGTGGGTTGCTCTAGTGGTGAGCACCCTCCACTTCCAACCAAGAGGTTGTGAGTTCGAGTCACCCCAAGAGCAAGGTGGGGAGTTCTTGGAGGGAGGGAGCCGAGGGTCTATCGGAAACAGCCTCTCTACCCCAGGGTAGAGGTAAGGTCTGCGTAAAAACTACCCTCCCCAGACCCCACTAGTGGGATTATACTGGGTTGTAGTTGTTGTTGTTGTAGTATAATATACCTCTTATTTTTTTCTCATTTTTTAATTCAATTATTAAACTGAAATAATATCAGTTGCCACTTGATCTAATTCACTGAATATCACACTGACTGCTGCTGAATGCCATAAATTACATAATCAGATTCTAAGAATCAACACGTGATTGCCATGCAAAACTTGATCTCATTCCCTACAAATATCAGTACACACTCTACCATTAGCAATAACACAACCAGTTATGGAGCAAGAAAATACAATCTACAGCCACCAAATATTTATATATACTAGTTAGAATAGAAATGGTAATAAAAGATTGGAAAATGCAATAAAAGTATAAGTAGCAAAAAAGACTTCTAGTACCATATGATACCAATATGGTATACATGTATACCAACAGAGTATATGATTGCTCTAGAATATTGCTACAATTATCTGCGATTATACTACTGTACCAAAACATTAAAGGATACAATAAAAGTATGAGAAAATTACATGCTCATATTGCAAACTAAATATTCGCAAAGCAACTTGCTTATTCCGTATACTAACAGGGAATATAGTTGTATGGGATCGTTCCAACAATTGCCTTTAACTATAAAAACTATTACATAATACACATAATCTATATCCATCGGCACAAAAAAATCCCAGCACTGCAAATCATGTTCATATAAATAATTCCATAATAGAATTCACTTAAAAATGCAGCTAAAACAACAAAAAAAATATTCAAACTACCATATGATACCAAATATGGCATATAACTATACCAACATGGTATATAGTTTTACTGGTTAATTCCCGGCTTACAGCCTATATAAGCTTTCTTGCTGTGATCGTTAGTATCTAGTTAAACGGGGTCAAGGTCCTCTATGGTCAATCCCGCAGCTTTGATCGTATCAGGGTCCCTGATAACGTCCTTGCTATCGTCACATATCGACCTCAACCCTATCGATTGTTATGCCCCTTTTTCTTTGTCCTTAGTTTGTTGAGTGACTGTGCAGTCTAGGGCGATACGGTAGCATTCCCGGGATGTGCATTGTTCCCCTCATATGTTAAATATTCCCCATAGAGTCGGGAATTTGATGACCTGGTATAAACTGGAAAGGACGGCCCTCTTGGTGTGTATCCATGATCATCCTATTATGGCATTGTATGCTGCGTCTTAGTCCATGATGTTGAACATGGTCTCCAGAGTGACGCCACCAGCTAGGACGGGGAGTGTTATTTCGCCAGATGTTTGCTCGACTGCATTGTTAAAATCAGTTAACGTGATACAACATGGCACTATCTTATCTTCGAGTTTCATTTGTGCAAGTACTCGAGGATGAATAATGCACGCGTCGCTCCCATCGTGTACCATAATGCGTCGCATATCAGTGCCCAAAATTCCTAAAGTAATAACAAAGGCATCATAGTGAGGGAAAACCAAACTATTAGTATCTGACTTATCGAAGATGATACTTTCTTCGAGTTCGTCATACCGCTCGTGGGTGATCGACCGTTTGAGCTTGTGGGTAGTGGTGAACTTCACGCTATTGATGGAAGCATCGTTGCCGCCACCGATGATCATGTGAATGATACGGGTCGGTGAGGGCGATTTGGTCGGCCCTTGATGTTGTTCACGTCCTCTGGCAAAGTTGGTCCTCCCCCGGTCGCTCAACAATTCTTTGAGGTGTACTTGTCGCAACATGTTTACGACTTCCTGCATTAAGGTGATACAATCTTCGGTTTTGTGCCCTCGTTCTAGGTGGAACTCGCAAAGGGTGTCCTATTTTCTAGCACTCGGGTCTGACCTCATCTTTTGAGGCCACTTAACCTTTGGTCCGAGGTTCTCCAAGGCATAGACCATCTCTGTAGGTGACACACAAAAGTTGTGAGTGGATAACAAATGAGGCATACCTTTTTCGTTCTGGTGAGTCCTTGTCCTTGATCTAGGCAGGCCTTCTCCGTGGCGGGAAAAGGGCACAACAGCCGCTCTGACATATGGTTGATGCCGCTCCCTATTGGGTCGCGGATGTTGATAACCAATTTTGCCCTCATAGTTTTTCAAAATATATATATACTTTCAAAATAGCATTTTTTGCATCATTATTTAGTTTATAAATCTATACAAGCATTTTCTATAATTTTCCATAAATTTTAGAGCTTTTAAATTAATTTTCTTGCATTTAAATTATATAAATATTTAGTAATTATTCCTTTAAATTATTCTTGTGATGATCTAACCTTTTAAAATTATTATTTGCATCCATAATACATGTTTCAAATATTTTTACTTTATTTTATATAATTATATTGGTATTCTTAGGCTATTTATCTTGCAATAATAGCCTATATTTCACATTTTTATTGCATTTGTCATTTTATTCAGGGTCAAAATGATATTTTTACATTTTTTATAATCTCCTACCATTGTTTAAAGTATTAATTTTCATAAATAGCATTCTTTATATATTTATTTAACTATTTTATTAAATTATTTTCTTTTTAATCTCTTATTTAAAAGCTAGCCCAATTTTTGAGTTATTTTTCAGACCAGACAGACCCAAATCCCTGGCCCAATCCTCAAGCCCAACCCCAAGCAACCCTGCCTAGTCCAAAATCCGACCCAACTCATTTTTAATCTCAACCGTTGATCAAAAGCGATCAACGACCCACAACACCCCACTCCCTTTCCTTATACCCCCAAAACCTAACCCTAACCCCATTTCCTAAAGATAGCCGCCTCTATTCCCTCTATCACTGATCTCCTCTTCACTAAACCCTAACTGCCTTCCC